ATTACCAAACAAACATGCTTTCTACAAACAAGGTGTGCCGACGTCCTCAATGACAATGGTCCGTCAAGTGGTGTTAACATAGGAGAGTTTGTATTGACAGAATTAGAAACCTTAGGTGTTCCCTTTATGCACTGCATCTCTTTGAGTTCAGACAATGCTTCAGTGATGATAGGACAAAACAATGGAGTTGTAACAAAGCTTAGGGAATCCCAGCCAGACATTTTTGCCATTAGATGCCCCTGCCATCTTATCAATCTGGCTGCACAGCATGCTTGTGTCTGTGGTGTGCTTATCATTTGAGTACAAGTTGTCTTTTGGTATCTTTTTGAAGTAAGAACTGGTCTCTTTCGCCGACTGCGCGATGAAAATCTGTTTTTTAATTTTGAAAACTTGGCAGCTATGAAAGTACATTGGCTCGATAATGGTCTCTTCATGAGGTTTTGAGTTAGAGTAAGGAGAAGCACATCGGTACGATAATGTTCATTTAATGAGGTTTTGAGTTGCAGTAAAGAGAAGCACATCAGCAAGGTCATTCAGTTAGTGGGACTTTGAGTTACCATGAAGAGAAGGACATTGTCGTGATAATAGTCATTTAATGCTGGGGAAAAAGCGAGATGGACTAACAGTTAAGACAGAGGTGTAGTAAAGAAGTGGAACCTTCTTTTGGATACCTCTTTTATTGTGCTCTTCCAGTTTGGGAACTTAAGTTGATGTTTTATAACAGCTGTAAAACGTCATGGGATTCCCAATGGAGGGTTTCCATGTATGGTAGTGCTATTCTAACTTTTTTTGGTAAAACCATGTCAGTTTACAAAAGCTCATCTTATAGTATAGAACATCGCCTTTGTTGGGAAATGCATGGCAGTTTCCTTTTGGACAGACTGAATTATAAACATTTTAAAGGGAATTTTTTTGCCCTTTCAAGGGAATTCATCTTCTTTTTTTTTTCCGAAACATTTTGACCAGGTTTTGATCCAATTTGTTCTTGTTAAAAAAAAAAAGAAGAGAATTTTGATTCCACCCTCGGAACTAAAGTTCCCCCATATTACCTTTGCTACCCTTTTTCTTTCTTTTTTTTTTTTTTACTAAATGAAAAGTTTGTTCACTCTGTGTTGTTTGTAGGAAAGGTGATATCCTCACAATGGCAAACCGCATTAAGAAGATGAGGCAGGAGCTGTACGACGCTCTGCGAGACATGAGCACCCCGGGAAACTGGAGCCACATCACCAAGCAGATCGGCATGTTCAGCTACACCGGCCTCTCTGGTGAGAGCGTAATATGTGTTACCACGGGGTTGTAGAACCAGGCGTTTGTCAATTTTTGGGCGTGTGGAGTTATTGGTATCATCTAAAAGCAGATTTGTTTGTCTTGCTTCCAATAATAATAGAACATAGATAGCATTTGTACAGTGCAAATCCCCGCTCAACGGCAAGATCTATGCGCTTCACAATCTATACTTTTACCCCAGCAGACCTGAGAACATTCTGAAACAACCTCAACTTCCTTGGTAGCATACAGCACAAGCACCCATTTATAGGTGCTAAAACACCAACATACTGAAAAGATCTTTCACTGTCTATTGCCGGGTACCCATTCCCATTCCAATGAAATACATATCCATTTTTCTTGAATAGAACTCAAGATGTTTGCGATTGAAGGAAGTGAGATCACCTGGTTTCAGTGTTGAAATTAGTGAGAATATGGTCGACAAAGTTTGGTGACTCCAATAGCTAAAGAGTCTTTGAAAACTGAAAAATGACTTTTTTTGTTTGTCTTTAATGAATGTTTTTCAGTAAAATCACATGGAAATGTGTTTTTATATTGACGTAGAAGAGGTTAAGCCAAAAAATTTTAATTTGCTAAAAATTTCCAAACTGGCGGAAAAATGCCTGTTTCTTCGATTTCGTTATATTGACGAGCGCCTGATTTCACCACGCTGCCTCGCACATATGAAGTAATTTGTTATATCTGAAAAGTAAAGGGTTTGATTCCAACGTGTTGACTGTGTCTCTCGTTTCGAGTGTATCAAAGAAGTCAATCAGGGGCATATTGGCTGAGAGAAAAGAAGTCTAGGAAAGTTAAATCTCTCGTGCGACGGATGCTGTTGTCAACAGGTCCTCTAGGCTCCCAGTGTTCTCTCTCTCTCTCTCTCTCTCTCTCTCTCTCTCTCTCTCTCTTTCTCTCTCTCTCTCTGTCTATCTCTATCTCTCTATCTCTCTCTATCTCTCTCTCTCTATCTCTCTCTCTCTCTCTCTCTCTCTCTCTCTCTCTCTCTCTCTCTCTCCCTTCCTCCCCTGGCACTGTGGCATCATAAGCGAGCACGCAGGTACTCAACACTCGCTCGGGGGTCCTTGGAGAGTGTTTCAGGGTTGGGCCAATATTTCCTTTTAAGTGCATGGAGCATTGGGCAAGCTCGTAATAGATTGTTTCCTGTAGAATCACAAATGAAGACCAATTAATGCCATTTTCTGTCTGGAGGGTTGGTGGGTGCTCTGGTGTGGTTTGCTCCTTCTTTCCTATCAAACATCTTCCATCCTTATCCCTCCTCCTTCTTATTTTTAGTATTTGTTGCTCTCTTGTAACACCTCGAATCTTCGGAACCGATGACCTAAATATGTTGCAAGTGCCATTTAACTCATACTAAATAAAACCCCTCAACAACAACAACAATTTTTGTGTTTGCCAGAGGAACAAGTGGAGCTGATGAAGACGAAGTACAACATCTACCTCCTGAGCAGCGGCCGCATCAGCATGTGTGGAATCACCAGCAAAAACGTGGCCTACGTCGCCAAGGCCATCGACGCAGCCGTGCGAGCCTACCCTAGTAATTAAAAACGAATTCTTTTCTCCTTCCTCCTATCCCGCTCAGAACAATTCTGTTTTTCTGAGCCCTTGTTTTTGTTGACCTTTACTCAAGCTGTGGTTGGTTGATTTGTTGCTTAGTTTTGAAAGCTGTGATGATAGTCGATTTGTCGCAGTTTTTAAACGTAGGTGATACGTAAATCAGGTTTTTTTAAAAATGTGTGTAGACTTAGACATGTGGGGCGTTTCCGATCTCAGTTTAAGAGTACAGCGTGTGATATGATAGTGGCTGTAGTTTGTACTGGGAAAGGTTGCTTTTTCGCAGGTTTTAGCCGAGTAGAGCAGTCTGTTTGTTCTCAAATCACAATTTCCTGTTCTGGAACTCTATCGTCTGTATGTAAATCTCTCAAGTTTTTTTCGTGCGAAAGAGGAGTGGGGATGTCTGCTTCCTTTTTTTTCACAAACAGGCGTAAGATTTTTACACATTCTGCATGTTATGGAGTCAGATAAATACCGGTCCTTCACTCTGGCTGTGAGAATACATGTTTTCTTTGTCACAATCCGTGTCACCTCTAACCTTATTTCACCTGTGACCTCTTCACCTCTAACCTTTTGTCACCAGCATCTCTCCATTTACTATTTACTGTTATTGTTCTTGTCCGTTACATCATAGAGTTGCAATTTCTATTTTTCTAAGAGCTATTGTCTGTATGTAAGGGGAATCAAAATTAGAGTTGACTGCCTACTTTCTAGTTAGAAAAGGAAATTCTTTACTTACACCATTTTTAGGTGAGTTGTTCCCTAGCTGGTAAAGTGAATTGATGCTTTGTTGGTTACTTAAATGCTTGTTTTGGCATCTTTTGGAAAATGTCAAAGTTTTTATTCTAAAAACTGATTTTTTAAAGATGTATAAAAGGATTTACATCTGAATTAACTTACAACTTGAATTGAGTATTTGTGTCAATAACATTTAATGTTTATGTCATATATATCCAATTGTTTTTGATATTATGTGTCATATTTATTCCAAAAGCTTTACCTGTTTGATAGTGCTCAGGTTGAGGGGAAAAGTGCTTGGTTGTGTGCAGTTGTCAGTATATATATTATTCTAGGGAGTAAACATCTTTCTACTTGCGAGTCCAGTTCTCAGACATTGTCAAGCTTGTAAAGTTATTTGTCCGAAATGTATTTTACCAAGAATTAGGGCCTACATGTACATACAAATACTTACAAGGAAAAAGGAAAGATATCTCATGGTCCATCAAATTCTGTCCTGTATGATGATGAGTGTTAATGTTATTTTACGAAAAGCATTTGCTCCTAGTCAAGTGATTTGATCAGCATCAGCGTTTTTCTCCTGTATTTGTCACTAAACCAGTGTCTGTGGTGTAGCAATAAGGCGCTTCTCCGCGACACACAGGAGACCCAAGTTCGATTCACGTGTTGGGAGACATTTTATCGAGTATCTCGGTCTCTCTTCTGGGAAGTTGTATCTCTCTCAGCTTGGGGTTGGCCCTGACGAGGCAGTGTTGAAGCCAGCCGTCTGAATGATCGAAATGATCCAAACGATCTGACTTTGTCGATGTGGGCATAAAACTCGTACTTTTGAGATTTTAGGGTTCTGTAAGTTTATTCAACAGTATTACTACAACAAAACAAAACTTATTTCTTCTGGGTGTTTAGTTTGCCTTATCACCATCTGTCACCATCTCTGAGCACCAGCCCTCTACCCTTTGTTTTTTATCCAGTCCTTGCTCGTTACTGGTTTTTTTAATGCGTTTCTGTTTTTCACAAATTTATATTGGATGAAGACGTGTTTGTTGATACCCAGTACCCCTTTGAGTTGCCAACACCACAGTGTTTGAGGTTCAGGTGTTTTTTTTTGCCTTGTGAACCACCGGTATTGCCCAATTTTTACATCTGTTCATTGCACTGGGAGAGAGTTCTTGACAATGCGAGGGATTGTTATCTCAACTACAACATGATGAACCCACGATAATGGTTTGATAAAAACCGATGACCCTGACTTGAAGGTTCAAACACCAATAGAAGTAACATCACAGGAGGAAAGGAAAACATTTAGGACAATTTAACATCACAGAAGGAACATTTTTCTAACAGTTTGTAGTGTCCTTTCTTGTGTTGATTTGGCTCTGTTGAGTTTTCGAGCCTCTGTACAGTTGATAGAAATGATCCATGTTTCCAGTTCCAGGGTAAGGAGAAAGAAATAAAACAGAAAAGCAGCGCTAATGTGTGTTGATGTGTGTTTTATACATTGAAGTAATAAAAATACTTTGTCCGGCAGTGTCTGACAATGGCTATGAATGTGTAGAGGAGAATTTGTAAAAGTATGTGCTTTATGTAGACAATAGACAAAGTCACAAATGGTGACATGGTGACTATTTCCCTTTCCTTTAATTGTTTTGTTTTGATGTGGTCTTACGAAAAAAAGCAAATAAACAACCCACAACTGCAAGTTTCTAACTCTTTTATCAAGGGAAAAATTTGCATTTTAAATCTGATTTGTAACATTTTAGTGACAGACACCGAATTTAAAAGAAATAAAAACATTAAAAAATGTTCCTCTTTTGAACGGACTAATATTCTCATCTTGAACTTACTCTTACAGGGTCTTCTTTGTAGGAGGCTCTACTAGTGGAGGAGTGAGGGTAGAAAAGTCGGAGTGCATGAACACCTGGCCTCTGGATTTCAGCTGTCAAGATTTAGCACTAAGCAGAGAGCTCTAATTAGAAATATTTCAGAATCCTAGTTGTGTAGCAGTTTGTTTTAAACAGATCTGTGATTTGTATGACAAAGATGATTTTGATGATGGAGATCTCTTTTCTGTACAAGTGTTTCTGCTCCAGGGTTGTGGCTGTAGGTATTGAGAGTTTCCTGGAATGGTACTGCCTGTTGTTTGTTGAGAAAGTAGGTGAGATGAAATTTCTGTGTTTTCTATGCTCCAGGGGTGATCTTTAGGTGTGGTCTTGTCTTGGCTGACTCCTAATGATAATAATGTTGGCCTCTAATTTGAAAACTGCTTCTTCCTAAAACGTGAACAATTTTGCGAGGCCCGATAATGGTTGCATTATCCCAGGTTCTGTTTTTGTCTCTTACAGAAAGATCTGTATGTTCTATTCATATACACTTGGGATTAACATTTTCACTCAGGGTGTGGGTCGTCTGTAAACTGGACATGATCCAAAAGCATAATTCAGTAGGCTTACTTCACATCTACCAAAGTTGTAATTTGGCATTGCTCCCCTTTTTTTAGTTTTATTAGTTTTATCCTCTGGTGTGTGCGGTTTGCTTTTGTCGGTGGGGGAAGACAAGTAGACATAAGTGTGTAGTGAGTATATCACGAGTGTCGTTTGTTATTTGCGTGTAATCTGGTGGCTTTGGAAATTCTATTCCTCAGGTTTCTTTTCTTTTGTCAAGTTGTTTTTTTCTCTTATTCTTTTTCTTCCCTCTTTTTTTCTTGTATTTATATGAATACATTTTACAATCTAATGGGCTTTTAGTATTCTATTTTTAACATATATATGAATATTTTAAAGACATATTCCTTCCTTCCGTCTGTCCATGTGATAAATCCATTATATTAGTACAGTGTATTCAATATTTTGATTAATTAATGGCTTTATGTGTTAGTGCATGTGTACAGGCGTGATCCCTTTGGGGGCTGTAATCAGGGATGCCAAATCTCCGGTTTTATCCGCCTTTTTCCGGCTTTTTCCGGGGTTTTTTTCCTACACTTGCAAAGGAAAGGGGAATGGTAAGAGAAATGTTTTTGTTTGCTCATTGAAAGATTTTACAAAGTACGTTTTAGGTGAGATGTGATGATCCGCTCATTTTCAGGTTAAAAAAAATAAATAATTTGGCATCCCTGTGTAATGACCGTAGTTGTGTGTCGCTGCATTGTGTAATGTAGATTCTATGCATATAGCTGCCAACCAGTATGCTAAAAATGTATTCAATTGAATATGTTTTTGGGGGGTCTGAGTACAGACGTATGTTTTCGCGGCGGAAAATATGTATTCTGTGTTTTCTAGTACTGTACTCACGGACTTGTCGATGCCAAAGAAAAAGTTTAAACTTTTATTTTTAAAACCGGATTTGCGAGTAATAATGAGAACAAAGCGGATAGGTAGTTGTGTGTGTTGTCATAGCTAGCTATTTTGCATGAATTTATTGAATGCGGAAAAATGTGTGCGAAGTGTTTGGAGGGGTGTTTCTTAGCTAACTCCAGCCGTCTTGACCAGTCAAGAGACTCGTCTTAGTCTTTTGGTCTTTGAAAAGTTGGCAGCTATGTGTATGTTAGTACATGTACTGTTACTTCTGTTACACTTGTTCCCAGCTAGGATGATGTGTGGGATAACCATATCCATTAACAAGTTTGTCTGCTTAGTTTCTGGATTTTCCTCAGCTTGTACTTGTGGCCCTTTCTGTTTAGAGTGACTTCTTGTCTGTTGTAGTTGAATGTTAATCTTTACCGATGTCTTGGCAGGGCGGTCTGTGGACACTGTTCTCTAGTGAGGCAGTGAACGCAGTGAAGTCTTATGTGTTGTACTTTCCTGTGTCTTTGCTATAGAAAAAAACCCAATATTCTTTTCTTTATGGTATGTTTAATTGTTTAATTAATTGATATGTGGAGTCCACTTAAACTGAATATATGGTTAATCTGAAAACAAAGGTAAACCAAAAGAAACGAAATTCCCAATTTTTTTCTCCCTTTCTTTGATCTTGAACAATCTTTGTGAACTGAAAACTTGGCGAAACTGAAGAAAACCTGTTAGTCCTTCAGATTTTGATTTAAGTATGCGGATTTCAATGTAGTTGTTTTTTTGTACAGAGACTGAATGATGACTTTGTGATGACTTGTTTTCTTGGAGCATGAGACCAACCCACTGACTGTTTCCCCCCCTCTCCCCATATCTCCCCCTCTCCCTATGTTTCTAAAGCTCTAGAGCTGTCGCAAAGCGCAGGGCAGGCGGGTCGAGGTAAGGAAGAGGACTATCGATAGTTCATTCGTCCTATTTTGTTGGTCACCAGTTTTTCACCCGGTTGTTTTCTTTTTATCCAAAAGTAATTCCAGTCTTTTGGTTTTTTGTTTTTCTATTTTGAATTGTTTCTGAGTCACAGAAATGCTGAGAAATATATGACATCGTGATATATTTATCCTGTTTGTCCAAAGAACTTACTGTACAGTATATATTTTTTAAGATGGACAAGAGATTGGAACAGCTTCAAAGTTTTAAAAAGTACAGCAGGGTTTTTTCCATACTTAATGTACTTCAATTATCCAGGACTTTTGTTTTGCTTAATTGGAACAACATTTGAAATTCCGAACTACTGTTACTGGTTGTCAAAGGTTGTCTCACAACTGTAGCCTGCCTTCACGTTTGAAAAATTTGTTCTTTTTTTTGGTTTTTTTTTTAACTGATAGGTCTTTGAGTAGATGTCACACTTTTCTTCATGTGCTGATGCTTAGTTTCTGCCTGTTGTTTAGAAGTTATTGGGTTTTGTTCTGTCTTAAATGTTTAATTTTTCTGTTTTAAAAGTCCCTGTTCTCTCCTAAATGTTTGATTTTTATATTTTAAAAGTCCCTGTTCTTCCTTTTTCACTGGTCGTTTTTGTTCCTCACAGTTGCTGTTGATGCATTCTTCTATGCAATTCATTTGTTGAGCATCTTTTGTGTTTTTGTTTCCCGATATTTCTCTGTTGTTTTCTCCGATGTGATAATTGATTGTTGAAAGCATTTTGTTGTAGACTCGGAGTGTATGTGTATATCGTGGTATGCCACTGTTGAATAATTCTTATATCACACCGCAGTACTTGATCCCACATTTGATTCGCTTGTAATATTCTGTAAATTCTGTTTGCCGTTCACAGCTCATTCTTGAAACTTAAAGGAAAGAGGTTATTTATGCTGCCCCCGTCGTTTTATGCAAGGACAATTCTGAAATTATACAAACTGAGCCCCAAAAATGTGAAATTATGCGAATCTGTTAATTTTAACAAAGAACGATAAAGGAAGATAATCAGAAATTATGCGAAAAATGATCAAATTTTGCTAAATTATGCGGGGTGCATAAAACCACGGGGACAGTTTAAGTTAAGGGAGACGACGACAAAGGGTGCAGACCGATTTGACGGTCGTCGTTGTTGTAAAATGAGATCAGTTAACCCGAGATTTACGGTAGATTTTGTACTACTATAACTACTACTACTCCACCTCCAGCCCCGAGGGGCACTGTTTTATCACACAGTGTAGCAGCCCTCTGCAAACTTTCCTGTTTTGATTTTACGAAGAAGAAAAAAAATCATCGCCCACCGTTGCTCTATTTTTGTCTGCTTTATCTTTATTGTTTTTAGTTCATGCTACGTCACTACATGTAGAATATATTTATATTATGCTGTTTTTTGTTTTTTTCCTTCTTTTGTTCTACTTTAGGGTAAAAAACCAGTGACTTACGATTTAAGAACAATAAACAGTCTTGAGTGCATGTTGAATAGCAATAATGTGTGGTCTGATGTTTTTGTCTTTATCCTTTAAGTAAAAGCTACGTGGCGTTTTGCTTCTCTTTAATGGCTTTAGGAATAAATGAAAATCTCTTCTCAAAATCCTTCTGTTAACAAACTGGACTTATTTACAGGACAATAAAGGGAGCTACAGTGGAGTCTATTTGAAACAAGCATCATTAATTGATTAGTCTGAAAATAATAGTGGTAAATTGAAAGACAAATGCAGTATGTGGGACACCTGAATAGACACAAGGGTCTTGAACATCTAGCTCTCACTGGTAAAATTGAAGGCAAACGAGGCAGGGGTAGGCCCAGAACAATTTTGCTTGGGGAACCTAAACAAATGGGTAACTGTGAAAGATCAGGGAAATTTAGCTTTTTTTGGGAGCATCCGAGCAAAGGAATGAATGGAGAATCATGATCGCCGATGTCTGTCTGTCGCAGGTCTGGCACTGGATGATGATGAAACAGAAAGAAAATAATATCCCCGATTTCTTTTTCTTCTCTTTGTTGAGCAACCTCCCTGAACTGGGGGACATCCAACGTTGATATATTAATATAATATTACTAAATATTAAATATGAATATTTTTATTCATTAACTGGGTCAAAAATGATGAATTGTAGAGTTGGATGGGAGGTGAGTAAGAAGACGTTGATATATATTAAAATAGTGAGTGAAAGAATGAATGCGTTTGTGCATGTTACATGTAGCCTTTGTGCCTGTGTGAGTAACAATATAATTAGTGTGGGCCCGTGTATTGTTAGGATGAGCTTCTGTTACACAGTAGTATTACCCCCCCCC